CTGTTTCTTAAAAAAACTTAAGTAGAAAATCTGACTTAAGTCAAACTTAAGTCCAAAAAAGTCTTTGTCTTTTTTGACTTAAGTAAGATTTTCTACTTAAGTTTTTTTAAGAAACAGGCCCCTGGCTCTTATATAGTATCTCGTGCAGATTACAATTCATTCATGAAAATACAATTAGATGAGAGACTTATTTCTCTTTCCTAGCTGCTTTTGAGCTGCTCAACCTTTATCGTTGTTTTTTTACATTAAGAATAAAGTTGTTCACGCATAAAAGCGATTTATTGTATGTTTGAATAATATGGAACATAATATTGGCAGTGCTACAGAGAGAGCATAAAACAATTTTACTGGTAGCAAAGACAAATTCTAAGCAATAGAAACGTGATATGTTAGCAAAATGAATAACACAACAAAATTTAGGGGAAAATCTAGCAAACAAGGAGAAATGTGCTCATGTCGGATTAAATTACCGTGTAGTTTTTGCTGTCGGTTGACTAAATGTTCTCTGTAGTGGATGACTGATTACTTCATTGTACTTTTCATCTGATGTTAATTTTACCATCGGGAAGTCATCATCGTTTATTGATTTTCTGTTACTTTCTTTACTAGAATGTGGACGAGCTCGGTCTAGCACATTTGATCGACTACTGGACATAGCTTATCGAATTCCACTAATTTGCTTATTATTTCGATATGATAAATGACAATCACTTTTCACAGTTACGATTTAACATTGAGTTAAATTTAGACAGACACATTCATAGAAAAATAAAAAATGTGTACATGAAAATACGTAAAATTTTGGATATAAAAATAGACAGAAGAACGGAAGAAAGAATAGATAGTGGACGATTGAAAACTCAAGTAAGACAAAGGATAGATCCACTCAGTCTCCAAAGATGTTGTTCATTTGGCAGTCGAAAAGCCAGATAGAACAAAACTACTTATCATATTTTGTTAAATCACTAAAAATGTTGCTGAATACACTGAATTAATCATCGAGGCAAGGAAACAGTGAAAGGATTGTCTATCTATGGAAATGTAAAATACTAAAGATAAAAATAAAAGATGTCTTTTATTTATTATTTTATTTTACTTTACGTAAAACAACACAAAGCAATAAAGCAACACAATCAAAGTTCAGTTCACAATTTGTCTACTTTTAATTTGACATCGTCCTTTTGTATGAAACTTAATCTATAATCATTATCAATAAGTTCTAATTAATTTCTTAAACACCTTTTATAAAAATTTAATGCGAACAAATAATTCGATTCTTCTTTGTATTATTTTCCATATTAATAATCGCATTGTTGATATAAAAGTATTGTCAAACGATTCAATGATAAAAAAGCAAATCATTTTGTAAATAAAAATGTATTTTCGGCACTTAACCTTGAATATTTTTCTTATTAGCTAATGCTCGATAATTTGTTCCACTTCTTTGATCGCCAATGCTGACGTTTTTGTGTCATTTTGACGGATTCCCTTACCTTTTTGCTGATCAGCTTTATTTCTGATAATGACGCATCAGTGGATCTTTCTGCCAGAGATAAATTACAAAAATCACAACCCAAGTTCATAAAGTGACAAATAAAAGTCATTACTCAAGCTATCCATAGCTTACGTATCCAGACATTACCGTTGCGTTTGTCGATTGATTGTTTAAAGCTACCAATAGTAACGACTACTATCTGAATTTAAAAAAAAATGGCTGCCTATGCTTTTTATTTATATCAGTTGTACTTACATGAATTAAGAGTTCATTTATTTATGGATGAATATATTTAATTTTATATAATCATGTTTATTTCTATTGAACTGTAAAATTAGGATTAATGTTTACGTTATTCAGTTATTTAGAGTTTTGTGCTTCATATCTTCACTATATTTTTGTGTTTTAATTTTCTAGATGCTTTTCTATTAAAAATTAGAATCGATCAATGTTATCGATAATTCTTCTGAATGTTTATCGCAAAAAAAACAAACAATAATTCTGATAATATAACTGTGATTGATTCTACAATTGATGACGAACTTAATTCAACAGCAGACGATCGAAGATTATCGTCAAATGCACTATCAACACGAACAATAATGTCAACAACACCTTTAGCAACAGCACAAGCATCACTTCGACCCTCAATTAATCGACGATTAGCAAATTTAAAAATAAGCAATCATCATCATAATAGTACAAATAGTAGTTGTGCTAGTAATACATCAATCTCATTTCCTGAAAATACTCATCCTCCAGATTTACTCGATGGACTCAATGATTTGAGACTAAATAAAAAATTATGCGATGTTATCTTAGTAGTTGATAAACAACAATTTTATTGTCATAAGGTATATAACATCTTCTATTAAAAATAATTTAATTATAGTTTTAAAATTTTAAGAGTAAAACTGTTCTTTATTTTCTTATAGAATGTACTTGCCGCTACAAGTCCCTATTTTCGTGCGATGTTTACGGGTGAAATGTTTGAAAGTTCACAATCTCTTGTGACGCTCAATGGCGTGGATGCTGATGCAATCGCAGAATTAATTGAATATGCTTATACGGGTATACAAAAGTTTATTGAAATTAAAAATTATTAATGTGTTAAGTTTTATTTACTTTTTCTTTAGCTGAAGTAACAATATGCGAACATAATGTCCAAAGTTTGTTATCAGCAGCGAATTTTTTACAAATTCAAACAGTACGTGAATCATGTTGTCGATATTTTGAGCGTTTCCTTGATGAAACAAATGCAATTGGTATCAACTGTTTTGCTGAATTACACAATTCTACAGAATTAATGCGAAAAGCCAAAAGATTTATATTGAAAAAATTTAGTCTCGTAAGTATACAAAATGCCATAATTGTGTTTTCAATGTAACTATTTTATTTATCTTTTCTGTAGGTTGTACAACAAGAGGAATTTATTAATGTTTCAGCTCAAAAGTTAATTGAATTCATTAGTAAGTGGTCATCATCATAATAATTCAACGAGTATTCTAATCTATTTTTCTTCTAATTTTGAAGAAGACGATGATATTCATGTCATATGCGAAGATGAGATATTTGATGCTTGTTTGAAATGGCTAAATTATTCATTGGAAGAACGTGCAAAAGAATTTCACCACGTGTGAGAGAATTTAAGTTTTTTGCTACTGTTCCATGAATAAAAAAGGAGCAGTAGTTTTCATATTTGAGCACACTTTCTTTTTCTTTCATTCTTTAGCTCTGATTATTATAAACTTCTGAATGTGGTTGTTTTCTAGAAAAATGTGTTCTAATTTTTTTTTTTAAATAGGTTTTGAAATACGTACGCTTAGCATACATGACTCCAGTAAGTATTTAACAAAATACTTTTTTTTTCTAAAATTTATTTATTTTTGTTTTAGTATTCGTTGATGGACAAAGTTGCTACCTGTAAAGTTATACAAGAATGTAGTGAATGTCGCTTATTATTGGATGAAGCTGTTCGTTATCATCTACTAGTTGATAGAAGGACAGAAATGAATAGTCCTCGATTAAAACCAAGAACATGCACTGGTAAGAAGAAGTCATAGTTGATTGTAGTATTAACAATGATTTGTTTGTTAATTCTTTTATTAATAAATAGAATTAACAGAAATCTTAGTATTTCTTGGTGGTGAAGATGAACGCGTTGTTGTTCGAGGAGTTGAAGTTTTTAATCCAGATAAAGACGAATGGAAAAAATTGCAATGTCTACCATTTGCTGTTTCTAAACATTCAGTTTGTTGTTCAGGTTTGTATTTTTAATCTATTTTTCTTTCTTGCTCTAAACTATTTGGTAATTTAGGTGGTACACAATTGTATTTAGCAGGAGGTGATTGGTAAGTTTTTAAAAAGCAACTTTTTTAAATAATTAAGTTTTTTAATTGATTTTTCTTTTAGGCCTGATGGACATCCAAGTAGTGAAGTATGGAAATACGAACAAAAATTAGATACATGGATTCGGTTACAAGACATGTTAACGTCTCGTTCTGAATTGGGTCTAGCGTTGATTGATAATTATTTATATGCAGTAGGAGGTAAATATCGAACGTTATGATTCCACCTTTCTTCCAAGGTTTCTATTTAGGCTGGGATGGTAGTAATAGACTGAACTCAATTGAACGTTATTGTATAGAGAGTAATTGTTGGACAATTATATCACAAATGCAAATAGCTGTAACTAGTCCATCTGTGTGTGCTTTAAAAGGCTTTTTATATATCATTGGTAACAAAAAAGTATTTTGTCTTTTACTTTTGTCGCATCTAAATGAAATTTTATTTTAAGGTGGCACTGTTCATGAAGAGGGTGATGGTATTGATCTTGTTCAACGATTTGATCCAAAAACAAATACGTGGACTCAAGATTTATCATCAATGAAGATTGCTCGCTCAGGAGCGGGAATAACTGCGTTTCAATCTCAAATTTTTATCTGCGGTTCGCATTTCATTTTATTCTTTTGTAACTATTAACTAATTCCTGTGTCTCTGTTGTTTCCTATAGGTGGTTGGCATGCCTCAGAGAGCACTAACAAAGTAGAAGTCTATGATTCAGAATTGAACGAATGGAAATTTGTGCAATCGATGCGTGAACGTCGTTATAGACCCGGAGTATCTGTTGTAAATGGAAAAATTTATGTTTGTGGTGGCCAAGAGCATTTTAACAAGTAAGACTTGTATGAGAAAATACTTTACTAATTCTTCTAGCTTTTTTATATGCTGTTTAAATATTATTATTTCATTCTGTAGATATCACGATTCAGTAGAAGCATATTCAACTCAGGACAACACTTGGACAATTGTAAGTACAATAGACGATAAATAAATGTTTATAGGTGTAAATAAATAACAATTATTTTCACCACACAGTGACTACAATATGATAAGTAAAACACCACATCTATCTTTCTCGTAGTTTCAATAATTACTTTGTACTTTCTCATTTTGGATATGTTTAACTATCTTCAAAACAGTCTGATAAAGTTACTCAAATAAGTGATGATATAATTTGTTTTTTTTTATTTCTATTTTTTAATTCTCAATTGATTTGTTATTGTTTAGATAACGGAATTAATATGTGGTCGTAGTTGGTTAGCATGTGCTACTCTAATATTACGTTGGAACGATCTTCACTGGGATCATAATTGTGAAGGAGAGCATGAACCGCCAGAAAATACAAATTAAATCAATAGACCGTTACTTTCAGCATTATGCCTCTCCTATTTTATGGCGTCGTTGCATTTTATGTTGATGCTCCTATAAAATCGAGATCCGTTTTTCAAATAATCATTGACAAGCAGAAGCATTTTCTCTTTATTCTGTCGACGTTCTGTAATTACACTTATAAGCAATCTTGAATATCACTTTACGATTATTTTTCTGAGCACGACATCTTATTTCACTGGCGAAAACGTCTTCATAATTCAAATTTGTATAAAAAAATAAATGATACTCTCACATGTATTGTAATTAGAAAAACGAAATTTTTACTCATTTATTGCATTTAGTTGTTGTATGTTTCTCGAGTAAGCTAAATGATAATTTCTATTTTTTTTTCTCTTTTTTTTCCGACATGTACACATTTCATTTCTTTTGTAGTTTGTAGGATAATTTTTATGTCTTCGATGTAATAAATCAAACGAAAAGAGCTTTTAATCAACGAGGTGCTTTACTTCTACGTGTACAAGAAACAAACAGTGGTGTAGATTTCAAAAGAAAGCAAACTTAAATGAAGTATTTGCACGGGAATCAATAACAATATTGAGTTTTCTTCTGTTTTTACGTTTTCATGGTTCTTTCTTTGATACACAAGTCAATAATCCGGATACGAAACCTAGCCGGATTTCTTCCGTAGATGTCTCTTACGGACAGATTTTTGACGGAACTCGTACGAGAGAACTTTATTTAGTCTTACAAACCCGCTATAAAAGCTCTTATAAACTTTTATGCGGCTTTATGCGACTTCTCATTTTTCTGAAATTTCTTCAGAATTTCTCATAGAAGCTGACTGGGGTAAGTGTTGTTAAGTGGTTTCGATTACCTTTCGTATAAATAAAGGGTTTGAAAAATATGATTGTGTAATGACGATTGCGTTTCTTCCGGACTTAATGATTGGAATTGTTTATTGTATTTTTCTTTATTTCTGATTCATAAACGCTCATATAAGTATCGCAGACATGGCAGCACCAAGTTTTTTCAGTCCCAGCCCCGATCCCGGAAAATGTTTTCGCCGTGTATAGACTATATTCTAACACATTAACTAAGTGATACATTAACTATCATAAAATAAAATGACGGCGTTCGTATCAATAGAAAGAAGCGTAGAACACATGTGTAATTTCCTGACCTAGATATTTTTTCCAAAAATTCTGAAAACTATACCGTCGGGTAGAGAATCAAATCCTCTACCACAAAGGACTCATTTGTTTTGACGTTTAGATGCAAAAATGTTTTTCTTTTTTCTAAAAAATATTTTGGTGCTTATTTTGTGAGCAATTTTATGTCCATTTAATCTAACTCTGAAAATTCATGGATAGGTAGTCCAAAGTGTCCCCGTCAAAATGGGAGTCAAGCGAGACTCTGATCTTCGATCGCTTAGGCCGAGCGTCGAATTTCCTGGGAGTCACAGAACTGATCATTTCTCACACGTGGGAACCTCACAAATTTCTCTAGACAAAGGTTATCGGCTACGCTGAGTCTCGTGGCAGTCTCTGTTTAACAATTTAAAAACGTTTTTACATATGAACTATCAGAACTTGTACTCAGCCTAAGCTGTTATAACTACTGTACTACCTTAAAACTATTCCACTTTATTTCAAATCAGTATAATGTTACATAAAGATGAATGAATACTGATTCCATGTATATATGCTCAAGAAAGTGAAAATGTTTTTCGTTCTCGATTTTCCTGCACTCAACGTCCTGGTGCTTATTTCATGATAAAATATGACACGGATGGATAACAGTGATGTTTCATTCATCTTTATGTAATATTACACAACAATTATTCTGGTTCCTGTGCGAATTATGTATAGGATCTCGCAGATATTTCACTCTGTTCACGAGAATTTTATACCTCCTCATAGAATCCGGCTTGTCTAGCTCATGCGAATAATGCTTTTAAACGACAATCATGCTGTGAGAATGATACATTGAATCTCGCAGATCTTTTGCTCTATTGACGAGAGTTTTGTGTTTCCTCATAGAAACTTTCTTGTCTCGGTCGTGAGAATAATGCTTTTACACGAGAATTATGCATAGAATCTTGAAGACAGCTTGCTCTCTTCGCGAGAATTTTGTATCTTCTCATAGAAACTATTCTCATAGAGATTATTATCCAACGTTGAAAAATCTTAGATAGTATAATGTTAGTAAGAGCTTAGAATCTTCGGGTCTCACAACCGCGGGAAAATTCGAATAAGTTTTCCACTAGGGCAAGGTCCGTAGACGTTTTTTCCTAAGTCATCTGTTCACTTTGAAAAGGTTTTAGGCGATATTCATGATCAGAATAGTCGACTCTATATTAGTAGACGATTAAAGTTGAAAGAAACAAAACAATGAACAAAAATAACGTTGAACGATATGTTGTGTTACCATATAAAAATAAAAACTATTTAAGGTGTCTTAGTCCAAAAGGAAAACTGTTTCTCTTTATGTTTGATACTTCTTGACTTAAGAATATGAAACCTGTTTTAGTACAGTAACTAAGACCGATAGTTGTTAAAAATAGTTTTAAAAGTTGGTGAGACTACTTGCGAATACTTCCGAGTATGTGAGAATTCCGCAATACGCTTTTCCCCCCTTGCTTATTCTTGTTCAGACATGAATGAACTTACTGTGAGAGACTTATATTTCTTCTACTTATAAGTCCTTGAGAGGTTATTGTACGTGTGCTTTATAATACGTAGTGTATGTATACTATACATACGTTTATACATAACTTATACGTTCAAGTATAAGTTATACATTTACTTCGACCACTCTTTAAAAATAATTCCAACCTACCGACACTAAAAACTAATATATCTACTACATGCCAAAAGATAAGAACAAAATGAAAAAGAAAAAGAAAAGGACCATCAAAAATATCAAAAAGGAAAGAACGGAGCGGACCAAAGCAAAATACCGGTGGTGGAACGTGAGAGCGAGGTGAAGATGACGTAAGCGGAGGTAGAGCATGTTCAAATTTCGCAACACATTGGAGTAATTGCGAGAAGATACATAATTGTGTGCAAGCCAAAGACGTATTTGATCGAGAGCGTCCTCAATAGAGGGAATAGTAGATAGGTGAGAGACATATTCTGCGCGGATGGTACGCCAGAGATCGAGGAGACGGCCTTGATAGGAGTGTAGATCGGTGGATGCTGAAGCTGACATGAAACGACAGAAAGGAAACCGGAATAACAGCGAAAATAAAAGAGGAATAAAACAAAATAAAAAGAGAAAGCCTGAAAAAAATAGAACAGAAAAACCAGTAGATATGACGCACAATGCAATGCAGGAAGAGCGTTCAGGGTTGCGATGCTGTGTTAGGTAAAGCAGCACCGTCAGAGATACGAATTTTGAGCTGCGGGAATATGACGTTTTAACATTTGCGTTTTAAAGAATTGCGAGTGACGTAAAGAAATATTGTGATGAAGAAGAGAAGGAACAAAACCACAAAGAGCAATGAGAGCGACGATAGAAAAATAGGATGTTTCAGGTGATGATTAGATGGAGTCGGAAAAGTCTGATTCAAATAATGTAACAGGTGATTTAACTCGGAAGGTAAATATGGAACTTGGTGCCAGGCGAGAGTATTGTTCAGTGCAAAATGGATGTTCAAAACTTCAGCGTCAGATGAGAAAAAGGTGCCGTTGTGAAAAATACTAAACGGTTGAGGACTAAGAGATGTTGGATGACCCGTGAGGGTGAATCCCGGACAAACGATCGAGGAGTCGAGAGTAACATTTGCCAGTGCGACTGCTGGCAAAATCAAAGGTTGGGTTTGACGCCAGATTTCGTGACTACTTGAGGGAGCTAATACTGTATGTACTTTAACACAATGCAGGGTGTCCACAGTAGATACGGCCCAGAGTGAACCACGCAGCTGTTGAACAAAGAATGAAGCGCTTGGAACCTTTTCGGTAAAACAGTTGTCTAGAGGTCGGTTATAGAGAATCTGTGTCAGACAGATATTGATTGAAAGAGTGCGAATAGCGGTAGTATCTCAACAAGTTGGCATGATGTTGAAATCACAGTTAGAGAGATCCTCCGGGTGACAGATCCTCAGAGACAAAAAGGAAAGAGTAAATTCAGTGCGTAAAATTTGTTGCAACGCCAGAAAAAGGAAAGATGTATCAACGCACTTTTCTAAGAGGGTAATATGATGGTCAAGATACTGAATGGCCTGAGAATGGTCATTGAGTATTTGAATAGTATGGTTAAGAGCTTCCTGAGTTGCTTGAAGCTCCGATCCTAAACGGAGCGTTCCGGCTTGGAGAAAAGCGATATGGGCAGTAGTGATGTTTCCAACCTGAGCTATGTCCTCTAAAAGGGACTTAACAGCATCCACTTGACGGCTGAGAGAAGAAAGCTGAACGGTATTACCAATGGATGTTGCGAGAGCCGTAGATCCTATACCGATAGAAATAATATCTAAAATTAAGCGACGATGTCGTGAGACGAAGGTTGTGTTACACTGAGGAATCCGAAAAGTGACTTCATTAATAGCATTTTCATTAATTAACTCATATCTCCATCAAAAAGGTGCATGGGCCCAAATCTACTTGGGGTTTTTCATTACTGACTGTTCCCTACATGATGAAAATAGTCTGAGTCGAAAAGCTTTTAATCACCTTGAGAGGTTCCCTCGTCAGTCATGACAATAATGTTTCTACACAACAATTATTCTGGTTCCTGTGCGAATTATGTATAGGATCTCGCAGATATTTCACTCTGTTCACGAGAATTTTATACCTCCTCATAGAATCCGGCTTGTCTAGCTCATGCGA